TTGCATATGGTAATTTTGCTTTGAACTAATAGTCTAATTAAGGATCAGGGGGCCCTTAAAATGGTCCCAGCAAGCACCACTTTTCTCTCGGGCATGGAAATGGATTAGTAAATGAGTAGTAGATCACATCCTTCAAAGAATGTGCAAAACACCCCTTCATCATATCAAAGTGTGAACATATGAATTTGGGCTGCAAAGTGTGTTCACACTCCACACCACCTTGTAGTGACACTGGGGCTACCATTAATTTGTTAGAAGGTGGAGACATTGATGCCCCATTTGTTAATGAAATCATGCATAAAGCCATCATTAAAGGCACAAACCAAAGGAAAAGGCATGGATCGTAATCATAACTCGTTAAGGTACCCCTCTATTTAATATGACCAAAATGTCCTATTTTGTTCATTAATCATGTATATATATACTATAATAAATTTATATAACAAAAACAAATCAAATGTGATAAACAAAATTTTGTGTCATCTTTTTTATTTATTTCGAACCTACATAACAAAGACAATGCTTTTAAATGCTAAAAATTTGACATGAATGAAACAAGCAAGAAGCTGCTGACTTTGAGCTTATGGGAAATTTGGATCCATAAATGTTCTTTGGTCTTCTCAATATCCAGTCTCTCTTGTTGCATCCATATAGTATATGTTACAGTTGCCCATGAACTGCATTAAGGGTCTGACATGACAAAATTAGCATTTTATTGGTGGCTGACAAGTCATGTGTGGTTGTGAAAAGTTTTGATGTCAGTGCAAATATTTGACCAAAGGGTTGCCTTATCAAGGTTCCAGTCCTCCATAAAGACTTTGCTGAGAAAAAAACCTGATTTCTCTGCTGATGGGTCTTATTGCAATTGCAGAGGCAGAAGCTGACAAACAAGCCTAGAAGTTCTAATGATGGTTTGATTTAATGAGTGTATGCAAATGGGGTCTTCAAAATCTTTGGGTGGTGGTGTCTTTTTCATCTCTGAATATTAGATGAAGCTTCAAAAGTGTGGCTGTGATAATGGGTTGTTTGGATTTGCAGAGAAATGGCTTAAGGAGAAAAACAGTAATATAGTATAATATTTTTGTTGTTTAGCGAAGTTTTTTTTTTTTCATTGAAATTGGAGGGGAAGTGCCATGTGGTGAGCCCAGAGGTCTGCACATGGCTTCTCTAATTTCCAAGTTTTGAGGCTGTAAACAGATATAGAGGAGTTAGGGTTTTGGGGTTTTCAATAGAATCAGCTGCAGAGGAAGACTGCCTAATTGGGAGGAGTGAGTCTGTGTGAGAAACACACAATCCAGCAATATAGCCCCAGTGTAAGTCAATTGTAAAAACCACATTTCCTTTCTTTTCTTCACTTGCTTCCTCTTTGCAAACCGCTTCAGCTACATCTTTTTCCTAAAAAATCTCTAAGCACAATACTGCTCAGATCCAAACTGGGTTTTTTCTTCCATCAGATTCTGTTCAAATCCATCATGAACCAGAACCTTTTTTTTTTTTTTTTTTTTTCCATGTGCCTTTCTTGATCTAGTGAGGCAAGAAAAGCAGTAGATAAGAGGCTCGAAACTGTCCCCTTTTTTGAGTCTGTGTGTCTAAAAACTTCAATCCATTGTCTGTCAAAGAAATATTTGCTTTTTGTTTATCTAAACAATATCTTCTCTCAAGTCTTCTCATTTCCTTCTTGTTATCTAATCTATGAATCTAAGAAACACAGTTGGGGTTGGGGGTCAAACGGCTTATTCACTGTGTTTCTTCAGATACCCACCACCATGGATTGCTGTTCTTGTCCCATTTCTGATATGTTATGGTTTTTTGGGGTATGGGTTGTTGTTACCCATCTTCCTCACATCTCTGGTCTTGATTTTATCTACTGTTCGTTTCACATTCTCAAGACCAAAACCACTTCTTGTGAAGAAATCAGTGAAAGATGAGGCTGTCACTCCAGTCCAGGAATGTTTACCTCAGGTGGAGGAAGTTGCATCAGTAGTAGAACCTAAAAGGGAGGAGGAGGACACTATCACACAAAAGAAGGAAGCCCCGGAAAGTGAAGTGGGTCAGATTCATGACCAGCTGGTTAAATCACCAGTGGATTCATTTTGGGAAAGCGAAAGTATTAATGGTCACTCATCTACAACTGAAGATTCTGAAGTTGAGTGGCCATACTCCGGCAATGTGGGTCAGATCCAGGACTGCTCAGACGGTTCGATTTCGGACGAGGAAAGCCTAATTGAAATCAGGCTTCCAAGTGGGCACTATGTTGATTATCCTAAAGAAGAAGATCCCAAGTGTAAATCAGAGGTGGAATATCCAATGTTGTGGCCTGCAGAGTCACTTTCAAGGCAACACAGTCTAATGGAGCTGTTATCAGAGATGAATGACATGAATGAGGAAGAAAATTTGATTGAAATTGACATATCCATGGGCTCCATTAAGTGTTCAAGGTTTGAGATTGAAGCATGATTGAGTGTATTTTTTTTTTGGAGTTCTTTGCAAGTTGAATCTAGCTCTTAGATATGTGCTCTGTTTATTTGTGTTATTATAATAGTAGTTCAGTGAAACTGTGAAGTTTCTGCACTTTGATTGTTGACCTTGCCATTACAAACTTTGGATACTCTCATTAAAGCACTTGTGCTGTGTCCCTTTTTTTACTTCTTCTCATGCACCATTAAAGGTATTAGTAAAAGTTAAAGGCAATGGGGGGATATAAATAAAATTGAAATCCCACTTGCATTTCTTTATCCACTTTCCTTGTAGTTATCCATTTTTGCATTATCTATTATCTCATACCACTAGCACCAAGACAAACTCATTGTCAAAACAAGATATCATGAATTGTTTAATCTATAAAAACATATTACAATAATGCAAACAAGCACAGCAGGTTATTAACATTTTTATACGCTCATAAAAATGTACTTCAGTATGTTTTTAGTGTAATAAATATGCTCTTGGTGTTTTTCAGTCTTAATTTTATGAAAATGCATATTCATCAAGATGCAATTTGATTGAATTTTTAGTACAACAAATTCAACAATACCATAAATTGCAAATTTGCAGGTTTTTTTTTTTTTTTTTTTTTTTTTTTTACCAATATAGAAGTTTAAAGTATGATCCAAAAGGATCATTTTGAACTTTAGCTATGCTTCATAAATTTTATCCACTGATAATGTGCACTCTTTTGTGGTGGCAAACGGCTGAGGAGGAGTGGCAGTTGAGCAACCTTGGGTAGCATAACATGAGGCGCGCTACCCTTCAACATCTTAAAATGACATGATCACCCCCCCTTCATATGTGAAATTACTGAAATGACAACGTACATGTTCTCAAGGATACTTGAGCCATGCTGGTTGGTCCGGCCATCTCCAAATTAAACATAAAAGTATGCATGCTTTTCAACATTATATATGGACAATCCTGCCTGTGACCATCTTCTGTGTATTTATAGGACTATGCATGCACTTCAAATTTATGTGTCACGTGGGATGTCTCTTTTTGGAAATTATCTTTCTTTGCATTCGTATGTTAATTCTTCTCCTTGCCTATATATTAATATACTGTATATTTATATTCTTCTGTATAATTACTACTAATTAATATGCCTAATGTTAGAACATTTGGAAACAACAATAAAAGGAAGTGCTTATTATAACATTTGGGTTCATCGTGAAATTTGGTGGCTCATTTATTGAGAAAAAGGCTCTTGAAGTTGAGTGTGGTGATTTAGAGTGGTTGTTAAAAGCTCTGTTCCTTGACTATTTTTCTCTTTCTTCTATGATTTAATCTGTTTGTTGGGGCAAAAAGGGAAAAAAAAAACCTACAACAAGGATTTCCAATTAAAGTTGTAAATGTTGTTATTTCTCAAAGATGGTGATTTGACATGTATATATTAAAGCTATAATTGGAGATTTTGTCAAGAAGTTGAAAACTAGCACCCTATTCATTTCTCTATCTTTTGGATTTGATTTCATCATCCATCATTTATAGCGTAATAAGACCAATTTTAAAAAAATAAGAAAACATGTGGAAAAAGATAAGGAGAAGTTAAAGCTGCAAGCCGGGCAGGCTAATCAAGCCGTTGGGGGTAGTTGAACGAGGTTGACACCAGTTACTAGAGAAAGAAATCTTAAAATTTATATGGAGTAAGGTTACTTCACCTATTTTACCTATAAAAACAAAATAAAATAAAAGTTACTTCACCTAAAAATATAACATTTTTGATTGAATATATTATTAAAATAAAATTACTAAAATATAATATTTTGACATTATAATTCTTCTTAAAATATATATTTAGCATGAAAATATAATATTTTGCATTAATAATGTTCTAAATAATGAAATTTAAAACTTATTTAAGACCAGTATTACTTTACCTAACAAGTTAATCTTTTAAATTGGATATCCACAGACCCAACACAAGTGTATTCCAGGGCCCACTCTACCCGAATTTGTCTTCGTTCAGGCCTGGGTTAGCATTTATTCCAAAACCCAACTCCAACCCATTCTAATTAAGTCATCCGACCAATCTGAAATATAAAACACCTTTTTCAATCATAAATGTATAATACATAATACTATGGAATAGCCTAAATAGGTCCATTCATATATGTTTATTGCATGAGTGTGTGTATTGAATTTTTTTTTTTGGGTAGATTAAAAGTAAAAAAATTGTTGTTATATAACTTATATTTATGAATATTGTACATTTAGATTATCCAATTGGATTAACCCAAGAGAATTTGATTTTCTTTATATTAAGGTACTCCTCTTGAATGGCACTACCTAGAAGGAAAAAAAAAAAAAAATACACAAGCACTACAACTAAATAAAAAATGTCAAACAATTAATTAGAAAAAAAAAAAAAAAATATATATATATATATATATATATATATATATATATATCACACAATTTATTGCATCCTCCATTCGTGATTTAATTTTGTTGGTTTGTAACTTTGTGTTATCAGTAACGAAAACTTCAACACAAAGCGTAACCCGTCTCATGCCACCTACAAGCCCCATATCGGATCACTCACCCAACACGTGCCTGGCTCTATAAACGGCCCAGATATCCCGAGCGCACTACCCATCCAGCGTTGGGAAAATCACCACGTAAGAATGGCTTATCGCTAAATAAACGGTTCTAAACCATCCACGTGTCATTCACGATGCGATATTAGACCAACGATCCAACGGACCCGGCACTCCCTCCATCACCAGCATCCCCGAATTCCACCCTCTTACCGGCGATTCCCTAAACCCTAGCCGGAAAATTCCGTCGCCGTCCCTCCAACTTTCCTGAAAGAATTGCCTCCTTACCATTCAACAACAATTCGTGAAATTCTTTGAGAAATTCACTAAAATTCACAAGAATCGTTGAGAAATTAAGGTTTGTAAAGTAGAAGTTTGTCGATCGATAAAGCTTGTGATTATCCATGGCTGATTCGGACAATGAATCGGGAGGACACAACAACAACGCAAACAGTGATTTCTCGGCGAAAGAACAGGACAGGCTTCTTCCGATCGCGAACGTGAGCAGAATCATGAAGAAGGCGTTGCCGGCGAACGCGAAGATCTCGAAGGATGCGAAGGAAACCGTGCAAGAGTGCGTGTCAGAGTTCATCAGCTTTGTGACCGGTGAGGCGTCCGATAAGTGCCAGAGAGAGAAGAGGAAGACGATCAACGGCGACGATCTGCTATGGGCCATGACGACGCTGGGGTTCGAGGAGTACGTGGAGCCGCTGAAGGTGTACCTCGCCAAGTACAGGGAGATGGAGGGGGAGAGGACCGCCGTGGGCCGCCAAGGCGAGAGGGACGGTCCCGGCGGCGGTGGGACAGGCGGAGAGGGGTTTAACGGTGGTGGTCCTGGGATGTACGGTGGGATGCAGACTTCGATGATGATGATGGGTGGTCATCAGGGACAGGTGTACGGTTCCAGTTCATTTCATGGTGGAGGTGGAGGTGGAGGTGGAGGTGGAGGTGGAGGCGGCGGCGGCGGCGGCGGCGGCAGCAGCCTTGGTGGGGGGGCTTCCAGTGGGAGACAAAGGTAGGTGTGTTTTTAATATATTATTTTTAAATGTAATTTTGCTATAATTTAGTGATAATTGTGGAATTTTAAGAAGAACTAGAGTTTTTTTTTTTTTTTTGTTCTTTTTTTTTTTTTTTGTGGTTTGTTTATGTGAATTGAAGGGTTGTATGTGTAATTGTGGAAAAGGGAATTGATGATGAAGATATATATATAAATGCATAAAGCAAAAATTGTAACCTTGTGTAACAATAGGACGGTAGAAATTTGTAATTGGGAAAGAAGAGAGAGAGAGAGAGAGAGAGAGAGAGAGAGAGAGAGAATTCTGTATTATGTACAGAGGGATTCTCATGAAGAAGAGAGCAAGTGTATTGCCTTTTTTCCTTTTGTTTCCTTCCCTCTTGATCTTTCTTATCCTTCATTGTTCACTTTATTTAAATTGATGTTTGGCCGTTTCTACTTTTTCTAGTATGTTATGTCACTCTGTTCTTAGGTCACAAGCATGAAAAAGAAAAAAAAAAAAAAAAAAAAAAAGTGGTCTTTGTACCTCGGACAGTCTTAATGGTTTATTATGTTTGGATTTTGTCTCTATATTTAGGTTTGTACCACCATATAGATAAATCCCTGTAAGTCTATTCTTGCTACATGAATTTCTTATATTTGGAAATTAAATCAAACACACACCCGTTACCTCTCATCTTCTCCTTGATCATACCATCCGGACCATGAAGTCATTTTTAACTGTTGGAGCAAATTTGGTTTTGCCAAGAAATTTTCACTGAGGGAAAAATGATTTTATGGCAGCAAATTGTGGGGGTAAAAATGGAGAGATTAGCATGTTGTGTTATCAGGTTGTTTTAATCCTTTTATAACTTATTCATTCTTTTGAAATGGCACTAGATTGTTACCCTCCCTCCCTATAGCTTCTTCACATGTGTTCGGCTTATTCCTATTATATCTGATCTTGGTTCCCTGTAAAGCATTTTGGATGTTCAATCTGTTTCCAATATTAATTCCGTGGATGAATAATAACCCGGCTTCTCTACATTTAAAAAAGTTTTCAAATCAACAATAGACACCATTCTTTATATTACGAATTTGGAGCTTTTATCATTTTTCATAAAAGTTGGGGAGGGGGGCAAATGGTCGGGTTTGGATTTGGATTGGATTAAAAATAGACGGGTCAACATGGGTCAAGACTCTTATTCAACCCGTTCAGAACGGGTTGAAAATAGGAGGGTTAATTCTATGACATATGAATTTATTAATTATTATTTTTAGTTATTTTGAAACTTTTAAATTTATTTATACTTTTAGAAAAATAATGAAAATTTAGTAATGGGAGGATAAGTAATTTGTTTATACTTTCAGAAAAATAAAATAGAATTTTAATTTTTTTATACTTTCAGAAAAATAATGAAAATAATGTATGAGGATATATAACAAAAGTTCAAGCAAACATGTGTAATTTATTTGGACCGTGGCTTATATAATAAATAAATTTTTTATTTTTTAAAAATCCTACTCACATAGTACCAAATCTGTATTCATAAGAATCAGTTTTAATTGACAGAATTAGGTTCTCGAAGAATATCGCTGATGTGGAATAAGGTGCACAAATCTCAACTACTTTATAATTCTTTATTCGGTAATTAGCGGTATTACTTTAATAAGAAAGGCATCACCTTCACGTGACATCACATGCCTTCTTTACAAAAATATGATTTATACATGTAATAAGTAGTGATCTCTTGTTCCTTATGGAGTAAGAAAATTCTTCTGTATCTTTTATAGTGATCATTAAATTAAATCTAATGGTCACATTCTAAACCTACCTATATGTTTTTCTTTCAATACCAAACCATTATCGCTATTCTGCATCTTTTATAGTGGTCACATTCTAAACCCACCTATATGCTTTCCTTTAAATATAAAACCATTATCACTATTTTAAGTTTTCAAATTTAATATTAAATCAATACCATTAATTACAACAATAAAAGGTAAGTACTAAAAAAATAAAAATAGAAATCTCTTCACCTCTCGAAATCACGTCTCATCACTAATCAGAATTTTATTTTCTTTTAAAAAAAAATATTATAAGTATTAGAGAATTGCATTCATGACTTGATACTAAAGTTGACATTGCCTATTTGTTTGAGTGTGAAAAAGAAATTAAAAATTACACTATTGATATACAAAACATCAACTAGAAAAATTAAAAATAAAATCTGTATTTTTTTATCCACTTGATTAACTTAAGTTAACCTGTGATTTGCACAACACTTCACAATTTAAATTATTGTATACCTCCCTAAATGCATGTTATTTAGAAATTAAAAATTCAATGTATTGTTCTCTAACCCCTTTGTCACAAATTGTTTCATCTTTCTTCTTAATTTTGTTTTATTTTATTCCATATTTTAACTAGTTGTAAACATATTATAATTACTCATATGTCATGATAAGTCGTACAAAATCATTTTTCTAGTTCTACTATAATAACAAAAATTTATTGACATATGAGGAGATTTACGACAAAAAAAATTATATTATTCTATTAAATTTCAGATTTTAATTGTAAATTAGTTGTTTTTCTGAGTTTTTTTTCTTTAATATTGCAATTACTATCATCATTTTTTTTTTTTTTTTTTCACTATCATCATTTTTTTTTTGGTAAGCAAAAAAAGTATGAAAGACTGGTAATATGTAAAGTAACAGCAAAGACATCAAAGAAAATAAAATTTTCTATTAGTGGTGGTATTTGGTATTTACCTTTTATAGTTGTAATTAGTGGTATTGATAAATTTTAAATTTAGAAATTAGAAATAATGATAATGGTTTTATATTAAAAGGAAAGTATATAGGTGGGTTTGGAATTTGACCATTAGATTTAATTTAATGATCGCTATAGAAAGTACGGAAGAATTTTTTTACTCCATAAGGAGCAAGAGATCACTACTCTACATGTAATATATTCTACTAATATATATATATATATAGAATTACGTATCTAATTCTTTACAAGATAATGCTAGATTATGGAGGGCCAGGATGAAATTATTAGAGTGATTTTAAGAAGTTAAATACTGTACGAGGATAACAAAAGTTCAAGCAAACATATGTAATTTTTTTAATTTTTAAAATTTTTTAAATTATTTTTATATATTTTTAAATTTTTAAAAAAAATAAATTATTTTTTATTTTTAAATTATTTTTTTTGAAAGGTTTTATAAATTTTAATTTTTTTAATTATTTAAAAATTTAAAATTATTTATTTTTTTAAAAGAAATTTCTAGAGAGAAATTTAGAGAGAGGGGATCGATGAGAGACAAATTTAGAGACAGGATTGTGAGTAAGAGAATTTTAGAGAGAAACGAATTGAGTGCAATATAGAGTAAATGTGTGTTGTGTGTTTGTTAACCATATTCAATCCATCTTGACCTTCAAATTAAGGGATTAAAAATGATCCAATCCATCTTACCCTTAAATAAATATGATTCACTCATAACCATTAAAAGACGAACGAATATGAACATGTTGATAATTCTTGACTCATTTTGCCACCCCTACATAAAAGTCATCTCTATTGGTTAAAATTAAGTTTATGGAAAATCTTTTTCTTTTGATAGTTCATTGTTTTATTAGATCTCCAAGACTCCGACGGTCCGAACCCCTCTTTCCGGGACTCCGACGGTCCGAACCCCTCTTTCCGGGACTCCTCCTGGCCATGAACCCCCCTGTATTGGATGTTTTTTTATTGAATTCTCACTGACCTTGACTCACACTTATAAAGCGGTCGAATTCTCACTGACCTTGGGTTGAATTGTTCTATGTCGTCTTTGACTTCAAACCTTCACACTTCCAATTTTTAATCTAAAATAACATTCCGTATGTTAAGAAAAGTATTTGGGTTCCAAAAAAAAAAACCTTTCAAGCTACCCGAGTTTCTTAAATTAAGAAAAAATACCGCAGTTTAATACTTGTCTACAAGGAAAATGGTGATTATGTTTTCATGATACTTGGTTAAGAAAATGAAATATCCGACAATGAACATTTTAGATTGGACATGGAAGAAACGCATGAGCTCACGATTCACCCAAAAAGAAAAAGAATTGATAGGAACAAAGGTTTTGGAGTCAGACTGGTGCGCAAATGAGCTTGATCCCACTATAAGTTTGGTACACGTCCACCAAAGACCATGATTTGATGAAGCCACTAGCCAGCATACGTGGAGTGTGATCTTGGGTTGTAAATAAGCTAAAAAAATTTCAGAAAGTTAATCACAAAATGCACATGAAAAAAATATATGGATATCAATTGTATCACATACCTAGTATTTTACCCTCTAGAGTCGGGTCTTGAGTTCAAAAATATATACACCAAAAATACAAATGTCTTGAGTACAAAAATATATACACCAAAAATACAAATGTCTTGATAACAAAAATATATACACCAAAAATACAAATTACAAAACATAATAGATGCATGCGGTTTTTATAGAACCCCATAGCTTCTTAAACTGCTTATATAGTACAAAATTACATTTATTCATTGCTCTAGGCACTTCCCATTCAACACTCTCAAACACTTCTAATCACAATATTTATCATGTCATAGACTCATGGCTAAAGTGATCACTTTCCATCCGAAACCAAACAAGGAGTGAAAAAGAAAATGTCGTCAAGCCGATCATTGCTAGGCGAATTGCCACCATAGACCAACAATCCTTTGCTGCCGTCATGCTGTCCTGCCGCAAATGCACACCACCCACGCGGCCCCGGATGCTCACCGGATTCTGACTTATCATCCAACCGTTTCCACAATAATGTCTGTGTGTCCAATGCATATAATTCGCCCGAAAACTTCCCTGCACCTAAGTGGCCCAAATCACTAGGGTCCACTTCCCCACCATATACAAATATGTATTTTCCAATTCCAACGGTTGAGAATACACTTCTAGGCGTTGGTTTTTCCCCGGTTGTCTCCACTTCGACCCACTTTTCCTCAACCGGATCAAAGAAGTGCACATCATCAAGCTCCACACCAGAGAAACCATACACAACCCAGATTTTACCTTGGGCCACAGCCAGCCCAGGCCCACCTCTACCCTTGCAATTCTCTCCTGCAACCGGATATTTGACCCACATTTGATCAATAACATCATAAGCCCATAGATCATTAAGCCGGCCGGCGACACCACAACCGCCAAATACATACACCCGCCGGTCATCGGCAGTCACAGAGTGGTAGCTCCTGTGAGGGGGGCCGGTGTCCCCACTAGAGATTAGGGCCCACTTGTTCGTAGACGTGTCAAAAGAGTATAGCTCATTGAGCTCCTTGTGAGTGGCATCCCTACCACCGAACACGTAGATGGTCCCACCAACCGAGGCCATTGTGACACCAACACGTGGCGGAGGGATGTCACCGGTTGCATCTGCCACGTACCATGTGAGGTCATTGAGATCAAACATGTAGAGATTGTTATCAACTGGGACACGTGGCGTGAACTCGCCACCAAAAACATAAGCCTTCTGTCCTACCAGGGCTACTGCATGTGAGCTTCTTGCTCCAGGTGCAATACCCTTTTGGCCGAGCTGATACGATCATACACATGGTTACACACACCATTTTTCCAAGTCATTGCCATTTTTATAGCATTTTAAACAACTAGGCGTGATAGGAAAACAGTATCAAACATTCGACATTTCATAATACAATAGTAGCATGTAAAGTCATGCTAGTGGTATCAACGAGCCAATGGCCTAACGATATCAACCTCTTGCCTCCCAAAGGGAGGTCAGAGGTTCAAGTCTCACAAAAGACAAGTGTGTGTGAGTAGTAAATAAAAAAAAAAAAAAAAAAGAGTCAAGTCATGCTAGTGGTCAATGGTCATCAATACTCACATCGGCATATAAGGAATGCTTACATTACATATTGTCTACCTTGGTTGTTAAATGAAGTGATATGTATGAGAAACCCACCTCAACTAAAAGATGAGGTTGGATAATTCTACGAAGAATAAGAAGAATACGTTATGTTTTGGAGTGTTAAATTGGGTCTTGAAATTGAAAGGGAAGTAAATTTACTCCAATTTCAATTCCAGAATACTGATTAGTGCTCCCAAATGCAACATAAGAATTGATTGGTGATATATATGACTCATGAAATTAGAAAGTGATGGATTTCAAGCCCCTTTAATTTGAGAGGGTTTCAATTTTTTTTTTTTTTTTGTCCACTTCAATATATCCTGAGCAATTTGAATGAATGAAGAATATAGAGAATACAACTCAATTCAACAAAGCCCTCATCAATTTACGATTCTACTCTATTTAACACTGTAACTTCAATTTAAACCATACATTTGTCATAGTTTCCTTTATCATATCAAGACATCATAGTACTAATGTTCTAATTCCCCTATTATTGACTTCAAATCCAAAACTCAAAGCTATCACAATCTAATCGGAATGATAATTAATGATACTTCAAAATCCTCCATATAAACGGTGATGATCGAATGGATGGTCGTGATCAGTTGTATTATTGGACTTTTAAGAAACATCAAAGTTAACCAAGAGCATAGCGATCAGTTCTACTCTAATTAACACTGTAACTTCAACTTAAACCACACACTGTTATAGTTTCCTTTATTATTATATCAACACATTATTATTCTGAATTTTTTTTTTTTTTTTCTTCTGGGAATGTCATTATAATTCTGATGTTCCAATCCCTCTATCATTGACCTAAAATCCAAAACTCAAAAGCAATCGAAATGATCAACTTGAAGCTAATGATCATCTTGAGCAATCTAATAGGTGATCAAGTGCGTTCACAGAGGTAAACAACAATTTCATAAGCACAATTATTGAAATAGTACACTAGGGTTCAATCAAATTAAGTCACCAAACAGAGCGAGAAAAGATTTGAATGCGATTAAACCCTAGCTGATCATAAATTCAAACCAGAACACAATAAATAAACGCGATGGAAAGTTAAACTAAGAAATCAAGAAACAAAAACAAAACTAACCTTAATCCATGCACCTTGTGCACCCATCGCCGGCGGTGAGATTGAGTCGCTTGAATATTGAGAATGGGTGAGGCAGTAGTGACAATGCGTGTTCAGCTCCCCACTATCCGTGTGATTAGTACACTATCTTATAGGAGTAGTACGATACCAATAAAGGAATTGTACCAATTTGTTTGGTAATTTTTGGCCTCATAATGAGCGTTTCTCAAATCTCAATTGTTTACATTTTATAATAATAATAATAATAATAAAAGGCAACCAAGATATTGGCTTGAAGGGCATGGTTTGTGCCTGCTTCAGATAAAACCTAGTTGAACTTTTAATTTAATGGTATAATAAGCTTACGACAATTGGTTATTAAATTTAAAACATTAAAATCCAGTTTTACCTACCCTAAATAAAATATTAAGATTCTCTCCCGTATGAGTAGTGCCTTGCTTTAGAGTTATATTAAACTTAGCTGGAAGTTTGTGATTGATTAATTGTTTAATCGATTTAGGATGTTAAATTAACTTTGTGCCTACCTTAGTTGCTATCGTTCTTGTTGGAATTAATTAAACAAGGTGGGTGTGTTTGGCAACTCGTATAATCCCAAGCCTAGCTAGAGTTAGTCAAGTCTAATCCGATCGATCCAAGTTTACAAACCATTGCCTAAAACAACTGACCGATGCCCATGGCTTGAGATTAATTGACAGACATGATCCAAACACGACCAACTCAAGTGTAACCTTAGAAACCCAACCCTAATTCTATCAACCTAAGCCTAGTACTCGAGCTGAATCGAAACTCCAAAAAAAACTTTGGAAAAATTATTATATGATTCTGATCAACCATGAAATGACAGGAAAGTAAATAGGTCAATTAATGATTAGTGAGGACCAATAATCTGAGATTTAGTTTGGAGTAGAGACTAGGTTAGGGTTGAAGATTTTATTTTTGGTTATTGTGGTCTAATTGACCTCAAACATGGCACTGCATTAGTTGGGCCCTTCATGGATCATTTACAAGCAGGAAGCACAAAAGCTGTGGTGGCATTGAGTCCATTGACTAAACTTTCTCGGCAAATTTGGTTTTGCCAAGAAAGTTTCACTGAGGGAAAAATGATTTTATGGCAGCAAATTGTGGGGGTAAAAATGGAGAGATTAGCATGTTATCTGTTTTAATCCTTCTATAACTTATTCATTCTTTTGAAATGGTACTAGATTGTTACCCTCCCTCCCTATAGCTTCTTCATATGTGTTCGGCTTATTCCTATATATATCTGATCTTGGTTCCCTGTAAAGCATTTTGGATGTTCAATCTGTTTCCAATATTAATTCCGTGGATGAATAATAACCCGGCTTCTCTACATTTAAAAAGTGTTCAAATTAATAATAGACACCATTCGTTATATTACGAACTTGGAGCTTTTATCATTTTTCATAAAAGTTGGGGTGACAAATGGACAGGTTGGGTCGGGTTTTGGTTGGATTAAAAATGGTCGGGTCAACATGGATTAAGATCTATATTTGGGTCAACATGGATTAAGATCTATATTTAACCCGTTCAGAATGGTTAAAAATGGACAGGGTTAATCCGTTATGATCGTGGATTTATTAATTATTATTTTTAATTATTTTTTAATTTTTTAATTTTTTTATATTTTCAGAAAAATAATGAAAATTTAGTAATGGGAAAATAAGTAATTTTTTTATACTTTCAGAAAAATAAAATAGGAATTTAATTTTTTTTTATATTTTCAGAAAAATAATGAAAATACTGTATGAGGATATATAATAAAAGTTTAAGCAAATATATGTAATTTATTTGGACCGCGGCTTATATAATAAATAATTTTTTTTATTTTATTCCTAATCATATTCGTTTTTTATTTTTTTAAAATCCTATTCACATCGTACCAAATCCGTATTCATGAGAATCAGTTTTAATTGATAGAATTAGGTTCTCGAAGAACATCGCTAATGTGGGATTAGGTGCACAAATCTCAACTACTTTATAATTCTCTATTCGGTAATTGGCGGTACTACTTTAATAAGAAAGGCATCACCTTCACGTGACATCACATGCCTTCGTTACAAAAATATGATACATACATTTAATATATTATACTAATATATATATATATACATATATAGAATTACGTATCTAATTCTTTACAAGATAATGCTAAATTATGTAGGGCTAGAATGAAATTATTAGAGTGATTTTAAGAAGTTAAATACTGTATGAGGATAACAAAAGTTCAAGCAAACATATGTAATTTTTAAAAAAAATTAAATTATTTTTATTTTTTTAATTTTTTAATTTTTTTTTATTTTTAAATTAATTTTTTTCGAAAGGTTTTTTAATTTTTTTTAATTATTTAAAATTTTAAAATTATTTATTTTTTTTAGAAGAATTTTCTAGAGAGGGAATTGATGAGAGACAAATTTAGAGAGAGAGAATTGTGAGTGAGAGAATTTTAGAGAGAGAAATGAATTGAGTGCAATATAGAATAGATGCGTGTTGTGTGTTTGTTAACTATATTTAACCCATCTTGACTTTTAAATTAAGTGATTAAAAATTATTCAATTTATCTCAACAATTAAATTAAATATGATTCACCCATAACCATTAAAAAGCGAACGGAGATAGTGCTACCCCTACATAAAAGTCATCTCTACTGCTTAAAAGTAAGTTCATGAGAAATCCTTTTTCTTTTGATAGTTCTATTGCTTTATTAGATCTCCAAGACTCCGACCCCTTCTTTGCGGGACTCCTCCTGGCCATGAATCCCCTTGAATTGGATTTTTTTTTTATTGAATTCTAACCGACCTTGACTCACACTTATAAAGCGGTTGAATTCTCACTGACCTTGGGTTGAATTGTTCTATGTCGTCTTTGACTTCAAACCTTCACACTTCGAATTTTTAATCTAAAATAACATTCCGTATGTTAAGAAAAGTATTTGGGTTCCAAAAAAAAAACCTTTCAAGCTACCCGAGTTTCTTAAATTAAGAAAAAATACCGCAGTTTAATACTTGTCTACAAGGAAAATGGTGATTATGTTTTCATGATACTTGGTTAAGAAAATGAAATATCCGGCAATGAACATTTTAGATTGGACATGGAAGAAACGCATGAGCTCACGATTCACCCAAAAAGAAAAAGAATTGATAGGAACCAAGAAACACAAAGGTTTTGGAGTCAGACTGGTGCGCAAATGAGCTTGATCCCACTATAAGTTTGGTACACGTCCACCAAAGACCATGATTTGATGAAGCCACTAGCCAGCATACGTGGAGCGTGTGATTTTGGGTTGTAAACAAGCTAAAAAAATTCAGCAAGTCGATTACAAAATGCACATGAAAAAAATAGATGCATATCAATTGTATAACATACCTAGTATTTTACCCTCCTGAGTTCAAAAATATATACACCAGAAATACAAATTACAAAACATAATAGATGCATGCGGTTTTTATAGAACCCGATAGGTTCTTATCTTAAACTGCGTATATAGTACAAAATAACGTTTATTCATTGCTCACTAGGCACTACCCATTCAACAATCTCACACACCTCTCACATCGCTCTAATCACAATATTTATTATGTCATGGCTAAAGTGATCACTTTCCATCAGCAACCAAACAAGGAGTGAAAAAGAAAATGTCGTCAAGCCGATCATTGCTAGGCGAATTGCCACCATAGACCAACAATCCTTTGCTGCCGTCATGCTGTCCTGCCGCAAATGCACACCACCCACGCGGCCCCGGATGCTCACCGGAATCTGACTTATCATCCAACCGCTTCCACAATAATGTCTCTGTGTCCAATGCATATAATTCGCCCGAAAACTTCCCTGCACCTAAGTGGCCCAAATCACTAGGGTCCACTTCCCCACCATATACAAATATGTATTTTTCAATTCCAACTGTTGAGAATACACTTCTAGGCGTTGGTTTTTCCCCGGTTGTCTCCACTTCAACCCACTTTTCCTCAACCGGATCAAAGAAGTGCACATCATCAAGCTCCACACCAGAGAAACCATACACAACCCAGATTTTACCTTGGGCCACAGCCAGCCCAGGCCCACCTCTACCCTTGCAATTCTCTCCCGCAACTGGAAATTTGACCCACATTTGATCAATAACATCATAAGCCCATAGATCATTAAGCCGGCCGGCGACACCACAACCGCCAAATACATACACCCGCCGGTCGTCAGCAGTCACAGAGTGGTAGCTCCTGTGAGGGGGCCCGGTGTCCCCGCTAGAGATTAGGGCCCACTTGTTCGTAGACGTGTCAAAAGAGTATAGCTCATTGAGCTCCTTGTGAGTGGCATCTCTACCACCGAACACGTAGATGGTCCCACCAACCGAGGCCATTGTGACACCAACACGTGGCGGAGGGATGTCACCAGTTGCATCTGCCACGTACCATGTGAGGTCATTGAGATCAAACATGTAGATGTTGTTGTCAACTGGGACACGTGGCGTGAACTCGCCACCAAAAACATAAGCCTTCTGTCCTACCAGGGCTACTGCATGTGAGCTTCTTGCTCCAGGTCCAGTACCCTTTTGGCCAAGCTGATACGACCATACACATGGTTACACACACCATTTTTCAACAACTAGGCGTGGTAGGAAAACAGTATCAAACACTCGACTTTTCACAATACAATAGTAGCATGTAAAGTCATGCTAGTGGTCAATGGTCATCATCAGTACTCACACTGGCATATGATGAGGAATGCTTACATTACATATTGTTAAATGAAGCGAAATGCATGAGAAACCCACCTCATCTAAAAGAAAAGGTTGGATAATTCTAAGAAGAATAAGTTATGTTTGGGAGTATTAAGTTCGTCTTGAAATTGAAATGGAAAGAAATTGAACATAAGAATTGATTGGTGATATATATGACTCATGAAATTAGAAAGTGATGGATTTCGAGCCCCTTTAATTTGAGATGGTTTCAATTTTTTTTTTGTCCACTTCAATCATATCCTGAGCAATTGAATGAATGAAGAATATAGAGAATACAACTCAATTCAACAAAGCCCTCATCAATTTACGATTCTACTCTATGTAACACTGTAACTTCAATTTAAACCATACATTTGTCATAGTTTCCTTTATCATATCAACACATCATGGTACTAATGTTCCAATTCCCCTATTATTGACTTCAAATCCAAAACTCAAAGCTATCACAATCTAATCGGAAT